GACGGAGAGAGGAGCGGAGGGAGGGAGGCGAGGAGGGAGGCGAGGAGGGAGGGAGGGAGGCGAGGAGGGAGGCGAGGAGGGAGGGAGGCGAGGAGGGAGCAGAGGGGAGTCGCTCCAGCTGGGTGTCGGCTTTCCCGGCGCGCCCTCCCCAAGCGCCTGGCCAGGACGCTCCGGCCGGCCCATGGCCGGCGTCGAGGGCCCGTCGACGGCGCCCGCGTGCTCGGCAGCTGTCGCTGTTTGACCGCCTGGCCCGGGTGCCCGTCGCATCGCGTCCTCCCCAGAGCTGGGTGCCCAGACCCCCGACGCCATGGCTTTTTCAGAACGTCCACCTCCAGAGGTCCCGATCCACTCCCCTGGACCAGTTTTCCATCCTGAGTCGTTTTTGATGGTGCCGAAGGCTTGTAAGGGCCTCGAGAGTGGGAGAATTCGGAAACACCTGCCGTCATGTTTTTCGCATTACCCGAGGGGGTCTGGAGGGGCTGAGGCGCACCCGGCAGTGCAGCCCGTAGGCAGCAGCGAGCAGAAAGAGCACGTCCAGCCAGCACTGCCTCCAGGAGCCGCCGGGAGGCCGCCTCGGGCAGAAGGAGGCTCAGCCCCGCTTGCGGTCCTCGATGGAGACGGCGGGGTTCGGCGAAGCGAAGCGGGCGAAGCCGCCGCTTTGCCCGCGCCGATGCCGTCGGGCGCAGCCCATGTGCAGTGGAAGCCCATGCCATGGAACACCCAGCTGGCCTGCATCGAAGAAGAATAATAACGCTATGGGCAAAAACTTTCAGCGCTTCGCGCGGGTTTCTTGGATCCGCGCTGGGCCCCACCCCCCTCCCAGCGGCGCCTCCGGCGCCGCCCCTGGCGCGCGGGGGGGTCGGCGCAGATCCAAAACATCCGCGCGGAAGGCCAACAGTTTTTATGTTGTGTGCCGTTGTCTTCTTCCTCTTACAGTGGAAGCCAATGCCAAGGAGCACACTGCTGGCCTGCAGGGTGCCCTGCGTATCTTGGATATTTGGATGGTTTTGCCATGGAGAGCGTGGCGCTGCCACACCAAATGTCAGTGGACGGCCTCTGGGGGTCTCGGAGCTGTTTTTCTTGTGGAAGGTCTCTTGGGGTCCAGCGCCTTTTGTAGTGTTTCATACAGTCGGGGCCCTGAAGAAGGAACCCTTTTCGTTAGGGAGGGGCTCGGTGCTCCTTGATTGTTCTGCAGTTTGCCCTCGGTTTTCCTGAGGCTTCCCATGGGAAATCGAAGTTCAGGTCATGGGAGAGAGGGGCCTCGCTCCTTACTTGGAGCTCCTCAGGTCAACGCCCCCACTGTAGTGCCCTCGCCCACGGCGTGCCCGAAGATGCCGTGCCCCGCGAGGCTCGGAGCGACGCGCCGTGCACCACCCCCGGCCGCGCGGGCAGAGGGGGGTAGAGGGAGGGGCGAAGGCTCCTCGGAGGCACCCCTGCCTCTTAGAGGGCGTGGGCCTTCTCTATGGATGTACAGTCGAGGCCCTGAAGAAGGAACCCTTTTCGTTGGGGAGGGGCTCCGCGTTCCTTAAGTGTTTCGCAGCTTGCCTCAGGTTTTCCTTATGTTTTCGATCGGACATCGAAGTTTAACTTATGGGAAAAGGGGGCCTCGTTCCTTATGTGGGGTTCCTTAGGTCAACGCCACGACTGTAGGGCCGGCGCCTTCCAAGAAACAGCCTCAATTTCAGAAGCCTCCCCCCTCCCCCAACCTCCCCTTATGCGCACAGCCGACACCCGCTGAATCAAGCGCGCAGCACCGCAGCACCAACTCTCGCAGGCACCAGTCAGCCCAGGCGTTGCAGCACGGCCGCGCCGGAGGCAGACGCCATCTCTCGAGCTTCGCACGGGGACGCTCTTCGGGCTGTCAGTTGCGAGCGAGTGGGGGAAGGGAGAAGGAGAAGGCCTTGTCAGAAGGCGGCGGGGCTTCCCAGAAACCTTCTGGCCTTCTGAGAGGCTTTCTGCGCCTTCGGGGAAGGCGCCTGGAACTTCTCAGAAGCTCCTTTGGGCTTCTGGGGAGGCCCGTGCCTGCTCACTCCCCCGGGGCTCGCCGCCGAGGACGGCTGCGCAGCGTGCGCGTCCTCGCCGCGCGGGCCTCTCTCTGGGCACCGAGAGGCGGGGCGCCGGGGCGAATACGGTCGCCCTCGATCGAGGGGCAAGCCAGAGACGACGGCGAAGCTGGAGAAGAGCACAACGAAGCACTGGGCCGATCGGAAGACCTCCCGCGAAGCCAAAGACAAGTCGCCCGCGTACGCCCGCAGCACGTCGCCCGGCAGGGAGCCCCGCAAGCGGAGGAACAGCAAATTGCCGGAGACTGCGACGAGCAACGGTGATCATGGGCACCCCTGCCGGATCAGACAAAGTCGGTGGCAAATGCCCTCGGCTTCATGCGCTGTCTTTTCCGGGATAGCCATGTTGGCAGAATTGAAGGCCGCGTCGCCATTGGTATCCAGCGGGGACGCCTCAGTAGGGTGTCGCGGCCATGCAAAAACTCGACGGCCGCATCGAACAATGTGTCGACAGAAAGGTCCCCCAGACGCCGCCATGCCAGATACGGCACTCCGTCTGGACCATGCGCAGAAGAGATAGTCAACGAAAATGCCCGTCGAATGTCTGATCGGCGGAGTTGCCAGGCGAACGCCTCGTTATCCCTCCAGTGCGGGCGGGGGTAGATGTGGTGACGATAACCCGGCAAACCTCCGGTGACCTTTCGGATGCTTCCAGGTGCTTTCTGAGGTCATTGGCCTGAGGCGAAAGTGCGGGCGGGCATTCGTAATCAGCGTGTCGTGCGAATGTGGCCATGCCATCTGCCAGCATCTTATCGGCCACGCAGCTTGCACCACCGACTGCGTGATGAGCAAGTAAGCTAGCTCCTGTGGAAGAGCTGCTCTCCTTCTGCCCGCCTGCCTCGGGTCGGGGGCTCCCCCCCGTCGTCTCGGGCGGGGATATACGACGTTCTGGAACGCTTTCAGGGCGTGCCGGAACGCTCTGAGAGGGCCGCGGCGCCCGAGACATCCTCCAGAGCCGCCAGATCTCAGAGATTCTGGATCTATCTTCGCCCTGACTTCGGCTAATCTGCACGCCTGTCTCGGGTCCGAGGTTCCCCCCCGTCGTCGTCGTCGCTGTTGTCGGTCGCCTCTCTCCTGCTGTCCTCGGGCCCTGGCGTGACTGCGGCCGCAGTGTCAGAGGCATGTGGCCCTCGGCAGAGGAGCATCTCGGGGTGCCGCCCCCTCTACAGTCCTCGCCTCTGGATCGAAGCGCCGTGGTTTCGGTGCAGAGAGGCTGGATGGGTGGCGGCCGGGGCGCTTGGCGTGATCATGTGTACCCCCCCTGCCTTCCAAGAGCACCAAGCGGCATAAGCATAGACTTTTGGAGGTCCGTGCGGATTTCTTGGATCCGCGCTGCCCCCCCCCCACCCCCACTGGCGCGCGGAGCGCTCCAGGAGCGGCGCCGGAGGCGCCGCCAGGGGGTAGCCCAGCGCAGATCCAAGAAATCCGCGTTGATCGCAAGAAACTTATGCTCATGCAGTTTTTGTTCCTCTAGGGGTCATGCTAAGCCCCCCTTCCTCTTCCTCCCCTGCCCGCCCCCGACTCTTGGTGCAGCGCTCTGAATGAGGCCAGGCTGCACGCATGGCCAGAGACTCGGGCGCCCGGCCTGAGCATGCAGTGGAGCATCTGCTTACGAAGCCGCCTCCCGAAAGGCTGTGCCAGCGTCTCTTGACCAACTTCTGGCCAAGTTTCTTGAGCACGGTCGCCCCTGCCAGCGTCCACAACAGGAAGTAGCCCAAGACAGTCGTGAGAAGCATGGGAAATCTGGCCCAGGTTTCTTGACTGACCATGATCTTGATCTTAACTTCGGCTGTAGCCAGTGCTTCCCCTTCCCTCTCCTCCCTTCTTCATCCTGCACGCGCCTGGGGCTCGCGCTCCCCTCACTGCTCGCGGACTTGGCAGCGCTGCGGTCCCGCTGTGCTCGCGACGCCCCGATCTGCGCTTGAAGCCGGTCTGGGGCCGCTTCCGTCTCATTCTACGAGCCTGCTGCACTTGCGCGGCAACTCCATGGCTGAGCTCCGCTTGCCCACAGCTCCTCCTTGGCACGGGCACTGCTGCATTTCCGGTCTCGGTTGGTGACACATGGCATCGGCGACACATGGCATCGTCCGGCGGGATTTGAGGATTTGCAGCTAACGTGTTTATTCACAGGGCTTGGGCCCGGATAGTTGTCGCACGGTGCAGTTTTGCCAGAGCCCCGCCGCACAGGTTGCGCGCAACGGCTCGCCTATGGCAGGTTGGCCTGCGCCGCTCCGGGTGATTTGGCTTGTTTCTCCGCCTTTCTCCTCCTCCTTCTTCTCCTTGCCCTCTCTACCTCTTTCGGAGGCCCGCGCGAGGGGTCCAGAGCAGAACCAGTGCAGTGAGTATGCAGGAGGTCTTTGGCCTCAAAGGGCGAGCGCGCCAAGTTTTGCAAGCATGAGCCTGGCCTCGTTGGGGCCCTTCAGTGCCGGAGAGGGAGAGGGTGCGAGATGGGCCCGTTGTGTCTTTTTTGGTCTTGGTCCGGGGGGCCACCGACTGCATGCTCGTGCGCACAGTTCACGCACGTGCGTGCCGCAAGTTGTCTTACGGCAGCCAACCGCTCGGGCCCCAGCTCGCCTGCAAAAGTCTGCCGAGAGCAGCCGCAGGTGGCAAGACGACGTGCTCTCGAGCACCGCACCGAGGGGGGGGATGAGCAGCATCCAGCTCGGCTCCCTGCTCCTCACAGGCTGTAATTAGCTCCTGCGACATGGCATTCAGCATCGGCACTAGTTTTCTCTTAGTCTCAAGCCGGCCTCATCCGGCCCCCCATCCAGCTTAATTGTTGCTTTGTGCGGCGCAGACGCTGAATTGCGTCTGGTCGGGGCTGGGAGTTCTCGATCTTTCTTGTGAAGGCCTCCCAGGAGTGGCCTTCTGGCTCCTGCGGCTCCTCCACCTCCTCCTCCTCCTCCTCCTCCTCCTCCCCAGACGGGGGGGTCGAAGGTCAAGAACCTCCCCGGCGACATGGACGACCTAGGGCCTGCCAGGGGGGCAAGCCCGCGCTGCGGGGGTCCACAGAAGAGGACACGGGCCAGGAGGAGGAGAGGGAGGGGGAGGAGGGGGAGGAGCTGGGGGGGGGAAGAGGTGGAGGCCGTGCTGTCAGAGGAGGGGATGGAAAGGAGATGGAAGAGAAGAAGGTCGAGGAGGGGAGAGGCGGGAGGAGAGGAGGAGGAGAAGGAGGAAGGGAGCAAGAATTGGCGGAGGAGGGGCAAGGAGAAGCTGCCTGGGGGAGGTGGAGGAAGTGAGGAGTGGCAAAAAGAGGAGGTGAGAGTGGAGGAGGAAGATGTTGGTATGACACAGAGGATTGGTGGAGAATGGGTGGAAGCACCAGGATAACTTTTGATCGTGGAGGAGGAGTGAGGCCGAGTCCGCCTCTCACCCTCGGGCTGGAGGATATTCGGTGAGTTCCAGTGCTGCGGCTGACTACGGTAGGTTCGCATCGTGTCGACCGGCGGCGACCCTGCTGGAGACACAGAATCGGGCGATGTTGAACGATCCAACGTTTCGGAAACGGTCGATCGTTCAAGGTTGAACGATCCACGCAGTATCAGGAACCAACGCCGAAGTCGGCACGGCACGAACCTGCCGTAAGCGATTCCGTGAGAAAATCCAGGGGAATTGGCCTGGTCCCCTGGTCCACTCCATAAGCGTTTGGCCTGCGCCGTTTGACAGCGTGCGTCCGCGCATACCTATGTCATGCGTCCCTCTCTTTCCCACACCCAACTTGCTTTTCAGAATCTTGAATATTTCCCAAGCAGTGCTGGCACTGAGGGGGTCCTACCTGTGTTCTAAGGAGCTGGGCCGGTTGGGCGTTCTGGCGGCTAGGTGGTCGCCGTCGCAGCTCCGTCGCCGCCTCGTCGTCACCCGTCGTCTGGGCCCGGTTGGGCGGTCTGGCGGCTATGTGGTCGCCGTCGCCGCCTCGTCGCCGCCCGTAGTGTGGGCCAGTTGGGTGGCCTGATGGCTTTGTGGTCGCCGTCGCCGCCCCGTCGCCGCCTCGTCGCCGCCTCGCCGCCGTCCGTCGCCGCCGTTGGCCTGTACCACGAAGACTGCACAACAACAGTGTCGCGCCTGCGGCGCGCTTCTTGACATCTCATAAGATCGTTAACTACATCGATTGTACAGCATATATTGCACCACATAGAGTGCACAACGTGTATTGCACAAGCACCTGTATTGCCACACACTATTGCAGACCATAGCTTGCACCACAGGTAATGCACAGCATGTATTGCACAACGACGTAGATATCATCACATAGATGACACGATTTGTTTTGTTTCGCGCCTGCGGCGCAGTTTTTTGATCGCTCACACACCACATACGTTGCACTTGCACCGCATATATTATTTGAAAGACGATGTTAGGAAAGTCTTACAGATCTTGGAGACATCTTGCCCTCTGAGGGCCTCTTGGGCCGTCGTGGGGCGATCTTTAGTGGCCTCTTGGGCCACTCTTGGGCCGTCTTGGAGCGTCGAAGGCCAGTATAGGCGAGAGCGCTCAAACTCTTCAACATCTTAAGAAGAACAAGTGATCTTGGCCTCTGGGGGCCCGCTTGGGGTGTTTTTTGGGGGGCCTCTTGAGCCGTCTGGAGGCCATCGTGAGCGCCTTGGAGCGAGCTTCGGGCGACTCGGGGCGCTCGTGGACTGTCTTGGGGGCCTCTTGGGGCCGACCTGGGGCCCTCCGGCTCCGAGAACGTCATGCGACACTGATGGGTCCCGTCCTGCTTGAGAGCGTGCAGGGGCGACCCGAAGGGTCCCGAAGCGCCCGGCACGCCAGCCCGTGGGCCCTTTTGAGGGAGCCTGGAACTTCGGGTCGCAGGACTCGAAGCTCGTGCCTCGGGGCACGCTGGCGGATAGGGAGGGGAGGAGGGATGACTGGACGGGGAGGCGGAGGATGAATACGAGGAGGACGGTGACGAGAGGGGGTCGGATGGGAGGGTGGAGGAGGAACGAGGATGGCGAGGAGAACTCAGAGCCGGATTGAGGGAAAAGGAAGGAACGTTGGCGGATAGGAAGGGAAGGAGGGAGGATTGGACCGGGAGAGGTGGAGGATGAATCAGAGGAAGACGGTGAGGAGAGGGGGTCGCGTGGGAGGGTGGAGGAGGAACGAGGACGACGAGGAGAATTCAAAGTCGCGATGTGGAGGAGGCCGCGAGGAGGCCGTTTCTCCTGCCCATCCCCCCCTCCTCGCCCCGCTTCCCCTCTGAGCTACCTCCTCCCTCCTCCCCCTCCCTCTTCCCTTTTCCCTCTTCCCTCCTCCATCCTCTCCCCCCCGCACCTCCTCTGCCACGGCCCCATCCCCCCTGCTCCCTCGCGCTCCCCATCCCTCGAAGTCTCTTCCATCCCTCGAAGTCTCCTCCATCCGAGTCGTTTCTTGGCGGTCTCGGGGGCCAATGAGGGCCCTTGGAGGCCGAAACTGTGCCAATTTGCTTGTCGTGACCGCAGAGGAGGCGGGTCAGGAGCGACAGACGGAGCCACACGTACATGAGTCCACGCTGGTTCCGAACTGCACGCGTATTGCGCGAACGTTCATAATTCACGAGGGTGGTTTCGTGGACTTGGAGGCCGTATTCGTGTACGTGGTCGGGCGCGTTTGTCCCTTGAGGGCTCCCCAGTGGGGGGACTGTCGGCGTCATCCGTCACCCCTTCATGCTAATACTGTGTGTGCGTCGCCCCCCCCCCCCCGGGGCGACGCGCGCACCGAGAAATCTTCTAGTATATGTGTCGTGGCGGGCGCTGTCTGGCCGCGCCGCTCGGGAAACGACCTACCACACGATGGGTACACTATCTGTTCGGATCGGGCGCGCGCCTCCACGCGTCCCAGCCTGCGGCCCGGGCCGCCCGCAGGCTGTACCGGCTGTTCTCCCCGTTCGGGGCGCTGGTGCCGGGCCGCGTGAAGGCCCGGCGCGGCGGGGGGGCTTCGCGGCTCGCGGGTGGGCCCCGCCAGCCGCCGCGGCCGCGCGCAGGGGCATGTCTTCGGGGGGGCCGAGGTGGGCGCAGAATCGAGGCCTCCGAGATGGGGTCCGAGCAGATGGGGGTCTGAGGATCGCGCCGCATCGCCGACGCAGCGGCGGCGCGGCTCGATGTGGAGGCCGTGTTTCCCCGCGCCGGCGTCGCCGATGCATCGGCGATGCATCCCCGATGTATTGGCGGTGCGGCGCGATTCTCGGACCGCATCGGCTCAGACCCCACCTAGGAGGCCTCTACCTAATCAATCGGCACAACGTCCAACAGCTGTCGGCGTCGCCGCTGTCGTCGTCCATTTGAAATAGAAACTCGCGTGCCCAAGAGCTGCCGCTGTCGGTTTTGGTCAACCTGTGTTTGTGGGCATCGTGATTACCTGTTCTTCTGCACTAATCTCGGGCACCCAAAGTTTTTCTCTAGGCTCCGGCAGGTCTACCCGCATGGGCTCGTTATGCAAAAATCATGGCGGGAGCTTTGGGCCATCTTTGGCCTTTGGGGGCCCTCACCAGGCCCCTGGACCGTCAGAGAACGATTCGGGATGGAAGGCCGCCGGTCCCAAGGGAAGGGTTCAGCTTTCCGGGGGTCCACGCTGTGGCAGATCACGACGGCGGAGTTCTGGGGAGTGGGAGCGTGGCGAGGCCCGGAGGAAAGCCAGGCTTCGCGCAAGCTGGGGCTCACTCGCATACCCTTTTTCTGTTCGCCCCCAAGCTGTTTGAGAGGGCGGCGGGAGGGGGGCGGGCGTCGAGGTGCTGTGCAAGTGAATCTGCTTGACTCTCAAGTTCAGTCGGACCGAGGTCTGCTATCGAGGTCGGTTCAGGGAGGGTACCCTAGTGTTCTTCGTGTTTGTTGGATGTTATTGTGCATCCTGGGAGTTCAGTCGGACCGAGGTATGCGATCGAGGTCGGTTCGGGGAGGTGACCCTAATGTTCCTCGTGCTTGGTGAATGCTCCTGTGCGCCCTGGGGGAGGGTACCCTGGAATGCTCTTCATTTTGGCCGGCGGAGGGTCTCGTTTACTTGAAGGATGTTTTGTTCTGTCCTGGGTCCGACTGCAATCAGGAGGTGTAAAACACACAGACACAATTAACCGGCGACACCCAGGAAACTATGGGAAAATACGGGAAGTGGGGGGAAGACGAACACCAAGAACATACGGTAACATATGGGGAATCTTGGGATTTGTGTCTATTTGTTTCTGTGTCCCAGGGCTCCTTTATTTAAGGTGCCATCCATCCTCGCGGGGCTGCTGCTACTGGCGGGGCTGCTCCTCGCATGGGGCGTCGCCGGCGTCCAGGAATAATACGTTCTCTGGCGGCCGGAGGCCCCGAGCACCAGGACGAAAAGGCAAAGTTGGTAGTGTAATGTGCGGTGTGCGCGGGGGACCACGTGGGAGACCAAAAGGGCTAGCACACGGGCTGGCCACGCGCAGAGGGGGGTAGGGGGAAGGGGGGAAGGCTTCTTCGAAGCACCCCTGCTTCTTAGAAGGCACGGGCCACCTCTATAGATGTACGGTCAGCGCCTTCTACGAAGCAGCCTCCTTCGAAGAAGCCCCCCCCTCCCCTCCCCCCACCCTTGTGTGCGCGCCGCCAGACGAGAGAGCATATGGCACACCATACGGGAGGCCGTGTGGGAAAACGTATGGAAAACCTCTTGGCCACCGAGCCACCGGTTCTGGGATCCAGAAAACCTCACGCCCAGCCTTCGACAATCTCATGGCCTTCGGCCCCTGCCGCAACTGTGCCCGGGTTGTGGGTATGAAGCCGAGTAGATGTTCGTTGGGATCTCGTGGGAGGCTTCTCGGGGGCCTCTTGGAGGCAATTTGGACGCCTCTTGGGGTACGTTTGGGGGCCTCTTGGGGGCCTCTTGGGGGCCTCTTGGGGGGGCCTCTTGGCGGGGCCTCTTGGGGCCTACTGGGCGCCTCTTGTGTGGGGGTGTTCGGTTCGTGTTCCCTGTGTTGGGCCCCTTTGGGGGCCGTCTTGGGGCCCTCTTGGGCCGTTTTTGGCGCCTCTTGGGCTGTCCTTGGGGCCTTCTCGTGCCGTGTTGGGGCCCTCTTGGAGGCCTCTTGGCCTGTCATGGAGCGGCCCCGGGGGCCTTTCGAGCCCGGGATGCGGAGCCAGCCCCCGGAGGATGGCCGAGAGCTCCGGGGGGCCAACGTTACAGCATCGAGGCATCGGATGTCTGGACCCGCTTACGCGGGACTCTTCCACGTCTGATTTGGGCGCCCGAGATGGGTACGGAAAGAACAGGTACAATGCCCAGCAACAAATGTTGTCCCAAACCGAGAGCGGCCGCTGTTGGGCGGGCGGCCTTGTGTCTCGAAGGGGCACAGGCCGCGGCGGCGTGGACAGCGTGGACAGCGAGTCCCGTTCAAAATGAGCAGGAACTGCTCTTGGGCATTGCACCCATTCTTTCCGTACCCATTTCGGGCGTCCAAGTCTGAGCGCTTCCCCCCCCCCCTCCTTCCCCTTTCGCGGCCACCCTCGTCTTGCTCCCTTCCTCTCGACCGCGCCGGGCAGTGCGCCTCTCGGCTGCCCCGAATGGGCCACGCGCGGGAGCGGACCGCCCCTGCCTCGCAGCCGACGACAGAGCGAGGTCTGGATCCCCCCCAAGGTGTCTGCAGGAGCCTCGCCACCCTCCCGGGGCCCTCCTAGGCAGGACCTCGCGCCTCCCGCGCGCCTCGCGCCCTCGGCGGGAGCGCCGGCCGGCGGGTGTGGGAAAGGCGGCGGCGGGTCCGCCAGCGGAAGGGTGGCTGCAGGTCTGCGAGAGGCGGCGGACGCAGAAGTTTGACGTCAACATGGTTGGGCCCAGGGTGTCTGGAGTCGGCTAGTTTCAATCAGCCCGCGCGGTAAGGATGGGCAGCCTCCCCAAAGGGTGCCCCTGCATCCCTGCCTCCTCGGTCCATCCTTGGCCACTTTCGTTGGCCGCGCCCCGCTCGAGAAGCTTCGAGATGGGCGTCCAAGGCCCTTGCCTGCATCCTTATCTTTGAGCCCAGGGTTTCCTGAGTCGGCCATGTTATGGGGCGTTCCGAAATGGCTTCGCCTTCGAGGGTCGAAGGAGTTGCCATCTCTTCCGCAGCGGAAGGCGGCGGGAGGGCGGCGGAAATAACACGAGGTCGCTTCCGCCGGCGGAAGGCGGCGGAAGGCTGGCTAAAGGCGGTGGAAGTAAAAGATGTGCCCCCAAGAGATGAAAACGCTTTTGGGTTCAGGGTGTCCGAAATCGCCCATATGGGTACAGTGACCACCACGTCTCGGGGCAGGCTTCAGCAGTCCGCTTCCGCAGTTCGGGTTCGGTTCAGTGGTATGCCCCCAATGCCGATCAGCATCAGCTCGTCCACTCGTACTCCTTGGGCTCTCAGGATGCAATTTCTGGGAGGTCAATCCAGCGTCGGCGCTGATATACCCGTGGTCGACAACCGGCCTTATGCAGCCTAGCCCTGTGAAATCGAGACCACTGCTGCTCAACGCCCCCTCCATTGGGCTCATGGTCTTTGTCTTTATCTTTATCGACTCCACGAAAGAGTGACCTTCGCTGGGGTGACCTTCGGTGCGCGCCCTCTGACGGTCCCCCCCCCCTCGCTGCACGCAAATGCTGCAGCAGCGGTTCGCGCGCTCGGGCTGGGCCCTCCCCCCCGCGCCCCCGCGAAGCCGCGCTTAAAGGTCACTCTTGCCCAGGGGCACTCTTGTGTGGAGCCGACTTGAAGCGTGCTTGCGAAGACCTCCCAGCAGTTGCCTCCTGCGGGCTCTCTCCTCGCCCCCGTCGGTTTCAGTCCTCGCCCTTGTGGTCGTCGCCGCCGCCGCCGCACGGTCTGCTGCCACCGCACGGGTCTCCCTCGTGGTCTCCTCCTCTTTCCGCTGCTCCTCGTCCTCGGACTCCTCGGGATCGCTGGCAGCCAGAGTCCATGCTGCGAGCTTGCATGCATGTCTCCGAATGTGCAAAATCTCGCAAGTCTACTGCGAGCGAAACTCTCATCTGTCGCCGGACAGCAGCGTACACATAATGTCTCGGAGGTCCGCCCGGATTTCTTTGATCGGCGCTGGGCCCTGGGCCCCCCGTCGGCGCCTCCGGCGCCGCCTGAGGCGCTCTCCGCGCGCCAGGCGGGTGTCCAGCGCCGATCCAAGCAATGCAGGCGAACCTCAGTGAAAGTATGTTTATGCCGTTATTGGCTGATTGGCCTCGTCTCTCTCTTCGCCCTCGTCCTCGTCGTCCTTTGCAGTCGTTGTAGTCGTGGTCGTAGCCGTCCTCGTCGTGGCCGTCCTCGTCGTCGCTGTTGCTGCCGAGAAGGCGAGGCCACATGACCAGAAGGAGGCCTGCAGGTTAGCCCTTCTGGTTGCTGAGCACTAGCAGACGGGGCTCCAGGGGCGGGGGTCGATGCAAACGGTGGTCAGCCAGAGCGCCCGATCTTGCAGGATCCTGCAGATCCAGGGCTGCACTGACCCAGGCCAGGGCGCAGGATCCTACAGGATCCCGCAAAGCCGGATTGACCCATATTTGCATTGACCCTGGTCAGGGCCACGTATTTCGAGTGATCCTTCGCCAAAGTGGCCTCTGGTGAGCACCACAGTGGCCCCTGGTGCGTGGCCCCTCGAGCGCGGCCGAACCCGACCACGCACGCCGCTGCTGTCGCACCGCATGCAGCGATCTGCATGCCGCGCACCACATGTCACGCGCTGCCCAGGGCAACCTTTTTGTCGACAGCCGGCAGGGGAACATACCTCTGGGGTGCGGGAGGGTCCTGGGTGATTGCTCGTCGATAGGGGAACACATCGAAGACGCCTACGGCGAATCACCGCCGCCCCCTGCCTTCGGGAAAGCGCTTCTGTGGCTAAACTTTGGGTCCCAGCTTGGCCAAGCTATCGGACTACGCTCTAGAAACGCTTGGGCAAACACTTGGGGGAGGATGAGAGGGAGAGTCAGGAGCTGGAGGAAGAGGAGGAGGAAGAGGAGCAGTAGGAGGATGAGGAAAGCTCTTAGGAGCCTCTTGGGGCACTCTTGGGGCCTCCTAGGAGCTTTCTGGGGGCCTCTTGGAGTCCTCTTGGGAGCCTCCTTGGGCCTCACGTGGGCCTTTGTGGGCTTCTTGGGGGCCTCTTTGGCCGTTCTAGGGCATTCCTGGCCCGTCTGACGCTGTCAGAAGCTGCCTTGAGGGCCTGTCTGAACCGATTTGGGGCCCTTCGCGAAAGTGGCGACGGTTGCGCTGTTCGCACCCACCCCAGGTAGCCCCGATGTCTCTCGTAGTGACCCACGTGAGTACCTACTCCGCTTGACATCCCCGGAGACCACGACACGTAGCGCCAGTTTCGCAGTTTGCAGCCTCCAGGTGGCTGCGAGGTCTCGCAGGGATCCGCGTGACTACCCACTCCGCTGGACCTCCCAGGAGTCAACGAACGCGGCGGCTGCTGCGCAGCTCGCTGCCGGGAGGGAGGCACGGAGTCAGAGACGGATGATGCACACGGCGCAGGCTGCAGGAGGAGGCAGGTTGCGACGTGCGAGCAGCGCTCGATCCAACACCGGGGCCCATCTCAGGAGGGCAGGGACAGCATCGTTGTACGCTCAGTGGCGGCGTCCCGTTCTCGGTGTCGGTCCCAGTTGCCACTCTGCCTCGACGTACCACGCCTCGGCATACAGTCAAGACGCTGAAATAAGGAACTGTTTGGGTTCGGAATGGGGCTCGATGCTCCCCAGGTTCCTCTATAGCTGTCCCTCTCGTCCTCCTCGGGCACGGGGGCACTTTTTAGGGCCAAAAAGGGGCTGCGTTCCTCATTTAGCGTTCCCTCCTTCAGCAGCCCGACTGTATAAGCGTAAACCTTCGGCGCATGGTCGACCGCTCGGCCCGCTTCCGGCCAGGGCGCTGAAACGGGGACCGCCTCGGGCTCCAGAAGGGGCCCCGGCGTTCGGACCCCTGCTCCGATGCCGCTCGTGGGTCCCGTCCGTGGCCGACGCTCGCCGTGGCCGGACGAGCCCCCTTCGAGTTGTGGAGGACGACGATCAGTGGAGAGGACGCCTGTCGCCAAATACTTTCCAGATGCCTCACACAGGCCTGGGACATGTTTTAAACATGTTTTTAAGCATGCTTTAAACATGGTCAGTATAATTTCCGATGTTTTCAACACATGTAACATTCAATGATAGGACGGTTAGGGTGTCCATCGTCGTGGCATCCACAGCCCTCGATCTTTGCCCAGCGATCCCCACGTCGTCACGACGGCTGTGTCGGCGCTGCTCTCGCAACCCTCTCCGCTGCTGGGGGGGGGCCGGCGAGCGGCGGCGGTGGCGGGCAGGCCATGGCGTGGCCCGACGGGAAGTGCAAGGCTCGGGCCGCCTCGCCGTGCCGTTCGTCCATGGCGGGAGGAGGAGGAGGAGGGGGAGGAGGAGGAGGAGGAGGAGGAGGAGGAGGAGGGAGGAGGAGGAGGAGAGAGGAGGAGGAGGAGGAGGAGGGGGAGGAAGGGAGGGAGGGAGGAGGAGGAAGGAGGGATGAGGAGGGAGAGGAGGAAGGAGGAGGAAGGAGGAGGAAGGAACAGGAGGAGGAGGAGGAGGAGGACAGGAGAGCCGAGGAGGAGCACGAGGGTGAGGGGTGAGAAGAAGGGAGGCATGAGGGAAGAAGGGGCGCAGCACGACGAGGTGAGGAGAAGGAGGAGGAGGAGGAGGAGGAGGAGGAGGAGGAGGAGGAAGAGGAGGAGGAGGAGGGGGCGGCGGGGGCGGAGGGGGAGGGGGACGGTCGTGGGGATGGCGGGCGAGCCGGAGCGCGACGAGCCTGAGGATGACGAGACTGTGGATGCGGGCAGGCGGAGCATGACGAGCCGAACGGGGCACGACGAGCTCCGAGGGGAGCGAGGGGTGGAGTTGGAGACTGCCGACGAGGAGGGGGGAGGCGGAGGCAGGCGGTGGAGAACGGGAGGGGCATGACAACAAGGGGCCCCCCTGCGCCACCCAAAACCCCTTCGCACGCATCCCCCTCCTCCTTTATCCGCGTCCCTTCTTATCCCTGTCTTCCTTCACCGTTCTCCTCCTCCTCCTCCTCCTCCTCCTCCTCCTCCTCCTTCTCTTCACTGCTCCGCCTGCTTCTCCTTCCTCCCCCTTCTGCTTTTCCCGCCCCAGCCAGCTCCCCGTCTTTCTTCAAAAGCCTTCCCGCTCCTCCTCATCCTCCTCCTCCTCCTCCTCCCCCTCCAGTTCCTCGGAGTCCTTAGCCATTTTGGCTCAAGTGTCATTCCCGCGCGCGCAGCCCCGGGACCGAGCGGCGACTCTGCAGACGCGAAGGCCATGGCGCACTGATGCATTTCTGCTTGCCCTTCTCGTTCTGCTTCGCTGCAGGCGCGGTGACGCTCCCTCGTTCTGGTGCTGGCAGTCCGCTGGTTTCCGCGGCAGGCGCGGCTACTCCTGTTCTTCACGGACGTCCTCCGCCCTCGTGGGCGCAGGTCATTCGCAAGCGTCGAAGCTCGGCGACTTCTCGGGTTGACTCAAAAGGGGGTCCAGCGACAAGGGGGTGGTGCAATAGATTTGGTGCAATAGAGTTGTGGGGTGCAGTAATTTTGGGGCGTGCAATACATTCTGGGGCGCAAATGTATTGCTGGATTTTCGTGAGCAACGCATTACTTGCAATACCATGCCATACAAGTCTCCGATTTGCAGTACAATTGCCCAACATCTACTGCACCACCCTCTTTCAGCTGGAACCCCCTTCTCGGTCACCCGAAAATTACGAGCTGTGGAACGACGTTTTCTACGCCCCCCGTGGTGGGCTCGGCCTCACTTATATAACGGTCCCGGCGAACGTGGCCCACGAAGCGAAGATCCCGGCGCCTGTCCACAGACAACGTGAGGGAGCTGGAGATCAGGGCGGGGATTCACACGCGCAACGGTTCCCTTCTCTGCGAGGCCGCGTACGCGCGCGGCCACATTCTCTGAGCAGGAGGCGCGCGACTCCAAGACATGGAACGTGGCGGGCAGCACTGCACGGCACAAGAGGTCGGCCTCCGCTGCCGCCCTCGCCCGGTGATGTGCAGCCACTCCCGGGGGAGCGCCTCGGTTGCTGGGCTGATGCCTCTTCTTTCTTATCTCGGGGGCGGCAAAGAGGGGGGATGATGACTAGGGGCGGGTGGATATCATGGCGCGGGCCATGATATTTCCCCAGATTTCATGGCGCCTCTCCTTGCTTCATTACGTCCCTGGTCCCCACGCTGGGCCGCGCACGTGCCGCCGGTCATGATTTGCACCCCCCCCTCTTGGACACCCCCCTCTTGGCCGCTCCCGATTCTTATCCTGCAGCGGATTCACGGAACGCGGGTGGTTGCGATGCTGCGGCTGGCGCTGGCGTGGCAAGCGCGTCGCTGCTGATGCCGATGTGCGACGAAGCGTTGAGGCGGGACGACCCGCACGTCAAGCTGGATGGCCAGCTCCCCCGGCTGGAGTGTGCCCTGGATCAGCTGAGCGCAAAGTCTGCTAATGGGGCGGCTCTGGACCACATTGTCTCGTCCACGGCGGCGACTGGGGTCTGGTGCGACTCTGCGGGCATCTATTTCAAGCATTTGGGAAGGGATACCTCTGCGGACGATCGCGTGGACCGTGGACAAGGATGGAGCTTGGGGCGCTGCAGTTGTCCCTCCGGGACCTCGTCCTGCTGCTGCTGCTGCTGCTGCTGCCGCTGGGGGGCGTTCCTTCTGCTCGTTTTCAAGATGTGCGAAGGTTTTATCGTCCTGCGAACGCTGTTCAAGGTGTAGGCTCTTTTGTGCGTACTCTGGTTCCTGATGTTGTGGTGCGCCACGACGGTCTCCAGTCTGTTCAGCACGAGCGCGATGTGCTCCAAGTTCGTGGTGTTGCTGGTCTGGTTCTCGGATTCACTGGAAGTCTGCCTCCTGTTCATGCTGCTATGGATGTTCCACTTGATGCTCCCCCCGATTGTGATGTTGCGCTCCCTCTACCTGGAGCGGCCCGTCTCGAGGAGGATGGCCCCAACGTCGGCACGGAGATCCCCATGTGTGGCGGGAGGCTCTCCTTGTGTAGGCCTCCTGTCGGTGGGCGGCTGGAGGTATTATTCGGGCGCCTTCATCGGCATCGGCGTGTTCGCTCTCCCCGTCGGTCGTGTCCTGCCCCGCGTGCGTGGAGTCGGACTTTCTCCTAGGCACCTCCCTTCGCGTGCTCGTGTGGTCTCCGCTGCCGCTCCCTCTGGGGCCATGCGGCCTGCTGCTGGCGCAGCGCCGCCTGGTCAACTTGGCGCTGTCGATGCGCATGGTGGGGCCCAGGATGATGCCAGCCAGCCGGGTGAAGAGTGTGCTAGAGAAGATGGCAGATGGTAATCCACAGCTGGGTGGGACCCATAGTGATGCCGTTGAGCCTGAGGCAGCGCAAGCACATATGGAAGAGTATCAGAGTGGTGCTGCTCCTGATGGACGTTCTCCCTGACGCTGTCCAGCACGCTCTCCCTCATTCCGCCGACCTGAGCCTGAACATGACGTGCGGCATTCTGCTGAAATTGCGACGCCTCCTAAGATGGCGCCTACGGCTTCGAAGGGGGCGATGGATCGGTCGCGGGCCAGAGCTACGGCAGTGGATGCGCAACCTGACACCGAACTTGCTGATGATCAACGTTGTGTCCCTCGTGGGGGATGCGGAAAGCCGCACAAGCTTACAACGCGCCGAATTGCAGATTACGAGGTGTGAGCATGGTGGAGCTGTCGTTCAAATCGTCCAACCCAAACCCGTGCATCGGTGGACGATTACCCTGATGGCGATCCAGGGGCATGTCAACAGCTTCTCGTACACTGCCAAACCGATCATCAACGCCAGGCTGGCGGCCAAATTCGGCCAGTCAGAAGCATTGGACGGACAGGCTCCTGATTCGAAGGTGGTCTTTCGAGCGTGACTTTCGACTGCTCGCTGACTTCTACGAGGTCGCTCTCAGACAGTCCGTCATCGGCTCCGTTGCGCAGCCGCTCGAGAGTTCGATTCTCAATAACTTTGATTTCTTGGCCGCCAGGCCGTCGTCGCCACCTCTGTCGAGGGCGGCGGCTCGATGGTCGACATCAACGAGGACCCCTTTCGTGACGCACGACGTGCGGTTGAGGGGCCGGCTGCCCGCGGCGCCTATAGGCAAAAGGGATCGTGCGCCTCCTCAGTGGCGGAGGTTCCTCCAGTTCTTCGGGACTGTTGCAGCAGGGAGAATGGCAGACGGATGGTGTCCTGCATGTTCTAGTCTGTCCATGGCCTTGATCAAGAGGGGGCCTTCACATGCTTTGCTTGCGCACAGCGCTTCTTTCCGCTTTCCGCTCGGGGGAATTGCGGGCAGCTCTTCTTTCCAATTGTCGCCCGCGCCCGGCTGAAACAGCTCCGCAGGCGCGCCGCGCCCGCCTTGGCGGCTGCACTGGAGAGATGGCAGATCGTTCTCTCGCTTTCCTCCTCCTCCCCCTCCTCTCTTCCTCCTCCTCCTCCTTCTCCACGCTCCTCCCCCACCGATCTCTCGCCCAGCGCATTCCTCCACCGCTTTCCACCACGACCTCCCCGTTCTCCAGCGGCGAAATCCGAGCCCTCCTGTCGCCGATGGGCGAATCGGGCATCTCGATGGGCGGCGGGGTTCGGGTTCGGAACTCGACGAGCACATGGCGACATGCGAACTCCCATCGATTCAGAAGAATCGGTGGTTGGTGGGGGTCGGGTTCGGATGTCGCCACCTAGCTGCCCTCCCTGTCCTCCACCGTCCTCCTCCTCCTCCTCCTCCTCCTCCTCCTGCTCCTCCTCCTCCTCCAGTTCCCCTTCACCCTGCTCCTCTCATTGCCCACCCTCCGGGGGGGACGGGTTACTGCTGCAGATTCTGACCCAGGATCGGGGTTCGAGGTCCGAGGATCGAGATTCGAGGATCGAGTTTCGAAGCTCGTGGATCGAGGCTCGAGGCTCGAGAAGTCGAGCATCGAGCATCGAGGATGGAGGATCGAGGCTCGAGGATTGTGGTTCGAGGATCGAGGATCGAGGTTCGCAGCTCAAGGATGGAGGATCGAAGCTCGAGGATCGAGGTTCGAGGATCGATGAGCGAAGTTCAAGGATCGGCGATCCAGGCTCGAGGACCGAGGTTTTAGGCTCGAGGCTCGCTGCTCGAGGCTCGCGGATCGAGGATCCTTCGCCCTGCTCTTCGGCCCGAGCCTGTGGCCAGCCAGTCCTTCCGCTCAACCTGCACAGCTGTGGGAGACCGGCCGAGGGAGCAAACGAATCCGCTGATCGTGGGCAGCCCGCGCCCGCGCCGCGCGCGCGCCACGCGGCGCCGGCCTGGAGCTGCCTGCTGCACCCAGAGTGCATGTCCCCACGTCTTGGGTGGGGCTGGTGTTTTCCCCAACAAAAATACACCCTCTCCTCCTCCTCCTCCTTCTCCTCCTTCTCCTCCTCCTCCTCCTCCTGCTCCTCCTCCCACTCCTCCTCCTCCTCCTCCTCCTCCTCCTCTCCTCCTCCTCCTCCTCCTCCTCCTCCTCCTCCTCCTCCTCCTCCCTCCTCCTCCTCCTCCTCCTCCTCCTCCTCCCTCCTCTCCTCCTCCTCCTCCCCCCCCCCTCCCCCTCCTGCTGCTCCTCCTGCTGCTCCTCCTCCTCCTCCTCCTCCTCATCCTCGCCCTCCTCCTCTTCCTCCTCCTCCTCCTCCTTCTCCCCCCTCCTGCCACTCGAGCCTCGAGAGGGGGGGAGGGGCGCCGTACCGCGGGAGTGAAGCGAGACCCGCTTTACCAGCGGAAGCCAGCGGAAGGCCAGCTCCGGGGACGCATAATGAGCCAGCGGAAGTGAAGAGCAGCTCCCAAGAGGTGGCAAGGATTTGTCTTGGTCCAGGGCATCGTGATCCCGTTACATAGCTCCTTCTCATCCCACGTCACAGGCCCATCCCGCTCATCCTTCTGGGCTGCGGGTTGGCTCTGTTGCCACCCCCCTCCCCCCGAATAATTGACGCAGTTCACTGCTCACTGTCTTCGACCAGCCGGCCGACCTCTCCTCTTCCTGCCCGTCTCTCCCTCGCCGGAGGGCCACGGCTTCGTGGACTTCGCCGAGCAGCTCGCGGCGGAGCAGGCACGACCGAATCTCTCGGGCGCCAGACCCTGCCGCGCTGGTCCACCCTCTGGAGTGTTCGTCGGCTCGTCCTCGTCCTCGCCGCCTTCTTCCGCCTCGCTCTGGTCTTGGCCGCCTCCGCCTCCTCCTGCTTTCGGCGTGTCCCGCTTCCCTCTGTCTTCCTCCATAAGAGATCACTTTCTTCCCTCGTCCTCCTCCTCTACGTTCCCCTCTTCCTCTTCCTCGTCGGCCCGTCCTCCCCTGTTTGTATTTCGGTATATGTCTCTTCTTATGTTGATTATTGTGATGCCAATCCGTCCTCTTCCTCCTCCATCTCACCTCATAGACTTCCTCGTCGATGTGTTCATCCCTGCTCCATGTCTGTTGTTTACGCATGCAACTGTTACTGCTCGTCCTTATTGGTCCTCCTCCTCCGTCTTCTTTCCCTCCTCCTTCGTTCCGAGGGGGTTGTTCGGTAGCGATTTTGGCTCAAGGTTATGAATCCCCCCTTGGAATTCAAGGATACCGCTAGTTCGCGGCCAGTGCCAGAGCGTTTGCGCTCGACACCCCATCCATTCCAACACCCGAGGGGCTCTCTGGCGGTTGAACCCTGTGAAAAGCTCTCCTCGCAGGTGGGCCCGCTGCGATGCCCCAGACTCGACACCAGCGAAGTCGGATGGCGTGGGCAAGGCCGTGGCTATGCCGCCTGTGCACCAACAAGGCGGGCGCTCGCTGGTGGAATCCAGCGGGAGCCAACGTGTGTGGAGGTGAATATAAGTGTGGCAAGAGCGTCGCCTTTTTTCTCCATCAAGCCACCCAAGTCGCCGTCATGGCCAATGGGTGCCACGGGCAAGGGTGTGGACAACAGCAAGACGCTGCGAGAGACAACCCTGGATATGCAGCTTGCCGACCTTGGCAAGCAGATGGGGTCCACGGGCGATGGCGACATGCATATCGAGGAGAGCAACGGGAGGACACCTAACGCGGCGGCGGAGGCCGAGTTGGCGGAAGCTGGGGCTATGCTCAAGGCGTTGCCGCGTGAACCGACCTCGGAGTTCGCCTTGCAGAATAATATGCATCTCGTGAGGCACCGCGACAGCTGCAAGGCCAAGTTGCGGGAAGCGCAGCCCTTCGAGTGGATGGCCCATGATGTGGCCAAGCAGAAGAAGCCGCTCACCATGAAGCGTGAAAAGCTCGAGAAGGCAGTGGAGGCGGCGAAGGCGGCCGTCGAGGGGGCAAATGGCGTGTTGGAGGAGGCAGAGCGAGCACACACTGAGGTGCTCGAGCAAATCGTGGTGAAGGAGGCGGGGCTCAATACTGTGCTGGTGGACGCCCAGCCCAAGCTCCCGCCCGCAAGGGCGCTCTCCTCCACCATCGGGGATTGTGGGGTTTCGGCCGAAGTGCTGGGACAGCTCTTCAGGGCAAAAGGATTGGGGGAGCAGGAGGCCGCAACGTAATCAGCTCACCTCAAGTCTGCCATGTCCGCCATCATGGATGCCCACGCAGGCTCCTGGCGGCACAGGGGCATTTGGGAACCCCCAGAGGCCTTATCATGTCTTCCGTGTACATGCACGTGAGCGAAGGCCTTTCTGCCAGGAGTGGTGGGATCCTCCGAGCCTTGGCCAATCATATGAATTTGATGAGATTGAGTGGGAGGTCTTTGATTGGCGGAGGAGATTTCAACATGTCGAGTGCTGACCCTACGGGCCAAGACTGGCTGCTATCTACTGGAGGTCTGACAAGCACCAGTGTGGAGGCGACGTGCCGCCAGTCGCTACCTGGATCGATCATTGATTGTTTTGGATGGGTCAGAAGTTGGTTGGGGGAGTTCGGAAGCCGTTTGTTGTGGAGGAAGCTGCGACCAAACCACATCTTCCTGTCAGCATGGCTCTTGAAGCCAAGGACAACCTTCTGCTGCTTCGCAAACAGAGAGTGGCCAAGGCTCTGCCGGCCGTGGTCAGATCATGCCCGTGGGGGTCCGTCTCACGTACGATTGAAAAGAAGCCGCAGGGGGGCTTGGCAGACGCTTGGCTCGAAGTGCTGAATACATTAGAGATTGAGTTGGCTGGCATACATGCTATTGATGGCGAAACTGTATTACCTTATTTGTCCAAGCTGGATTGCGGCCAATGCGTAGCTGAGCAGAAGTGTAGCGAGGTGAAGGCCGATATCACCGACGACACCGAGCACGCATGGCAGATCGCCGAGATATGGGCGAGGCACATTCGGAGGGCGGGGGCTCTACTCTCGAAGCTGTTGGACGGCCTGCGGGAAGAGTCTGTCTACGGCGGGGGCGGCGAGTTCGGCGTCCCAGATCGCTGCGCAGGCTGCCCCAGGCGCACCGCCAGAAGTAGAGAGAATGGGGCTGAGGTGGGCCCGCGATCCCCCTGGTGGTTTTCGTGTGGCGTCCTCCACGAGCGCGGCGCCCTGGATAGCTAGGCAGGCTGCTCCGGGCGAGTCGCCGGGGGTGGAGGAGATGGGGCCGAGGCGGGCCCGCGATCTCATTGGAATGTTGTTTTGCGTCTACATCGGGTTCGGAGTCCCAGGGCGGCGCGCAGGCGGCCTCAGGCGACGCGCCAGAGGTAGTGGGTGCTGAACCCGAGTTGTGTAACGTGGGTTCCCTGTTGGCTGATAGTGGCGCTTTGCACAGTGCTGTGGGGGGGGGGGGGGTCTGCTTCTGCCCCTCGCAGGATCACTCGAGCACAGGCTGGCTATTGTCTCGGAAGCGATGGAGCATTTGTTGGGCATACTGGCTACGATGATTTCGTGGAGGAGGCCTGTAGTCGGGCTCTCATCCTGGCTTTGCCAGACTACACATCTGCTGCGTCTGGCGATCGATTGGCGAGGCCGGGCGAGGCCAGGCATGGCGCAGGCGTCGGTCGCAGGACACCCCCCCCGCCCCAGGTGCGGCAGCGGGAAGGCCAGGCCCAGCGACCGTCAACGGATGGCTCGGCCAACGGTGGAGGTGGGCCACTTCAGCTCGAAAGTGGCGAAGGCCAGGAAGATGCATATGTTCCTGGGTGAGGGCGCAGGCAAGTTTTGAGATCAAGCTTTGTTGGATGGCTAGGGAACGCCCAACTCGTGGTGAACGTGGAGGCGACGATTGCCAATTCGGCGCTGGCCTTGGAGGTGTTCGCCAGGAAGAGGCAGCGCGCGCAGGCTCAGCGGTCAGGGGGGGCGTTCAGATAACGAGGGCGCGCTGCGCATCGGTTCACGCGCACCCGCGGAGTGCCGGCGGCCTTCGACGCAGCTGGATTGTCGTCTCCTCCAGAGCTCGCGGCCAGAGAGCTGGGGGACTGGAAGAGGTATGGCAGCTGCGCGGCGCGGAAGAGTCTCCTTTGCCTAGCGACGCTGCGGGTGGGGGGCAGCTGCCGCCTTTACGTGGCGCCGACCTGAGAAGAGTGGTGCATTCCTTTGCAAGGCGCGCAGGGCGTGGACACGTGCGCGCGCTGCCGAGACACTCCTGGTTCACATCAGATGCTGGACTCGAGGCGACGGCGGAGTTGTTCAACGAATGCGAGAGATGGCCCATGCCGCTTCAGTCGCAGCTTTCCAATGAGATGCGCATGCTGCCAAAAGCGAGCGGCGGCGCGCGTCTCATTGTTCTCCTCGACGCAAGTGCGTTGATCTGGGGCTGAGCGAGGCGGCCCCATCAGGGCGCAGCGTGGGAATGCCCGCCCTCATCCTGCATTTCGGGGAGGAGGCCCGGGAATATCGCCAAGTGACTGCGCGCTCCAACTTCATCTTGTGGCTGAAGCAGCGCATGCGCGCAAGCAGCGCGTCAGCGAGGCGTTCGTGGACATGTGCAGTTGTTACGAGATGATATTGTGGAGTGCTGTTATGCGTGGGGCGCGCGTGCTCGGTTACCCTGCGAGGCTAATGCGGGCGATCCTGCAGGCGTGCGTGATCCCACACACGGTGCGAGCATATTCTGAGATGGGCGTCATGCTCACGTCGCATCAGGGTATGTTGGCTGGTTGCACGCACGCCGCTATTGCACTTCAGGTGGTCGCGCATAGGGCGATGGATAAGATGTATGAGCGGCGCGTGAATTCGAGGCCCCGGGTCTTGATGGATGATACTACGTAACAATGAAAAAGGAAACGACGTGATAGGCTCCGGCGCATTGCACGCGCGCGCGAGGAACTTCGCTAGCACGATGCGCCAGCAGAAAAAAAAACAGGGTATTTTGCCGCCGCGGTCCGAGCGGCCGAAGGGTTCCAGTCGGGGGTCAATTGCGTGCGCCTGCGGGCCGCACGTCGCACTCGGAATCTTGGGCATGAGCTTCGCGGCACCAAGGTTTTGGGGCTCCATGAGAAAAGGGTGGCGAAGGCACTGATGGGCCGAATGCGGAAGGTTTGGGTGCTGAGGGAAGAAGTGCATGAGAAAGCTGGGGCGCTGCGGCGCGCCTGGCTGTCGCCGGCGCCAGGGCGCGGAACGGGAGTGAGCGGCGCCGCGGGCGCTGTGCTCAAGCAGTTGCGTACATTCGCGGGTGGCATGATTGGCGCAGCCCGCAATGCCTTGGTTTGCAGAATGATGACCGCTTCGACCGCGCAATCGACATTTGACTGTAGCGCGCTGTTTCTCAAGCGCTATGCCAGCTCTGTCGGGGGCAAGCTAGTTCCAGCGTCAGATATGCATTGCGCGCAGCAGGCAGTGACGAAAATATTTCCAAACGCGAGGCCGACATGGCAGAATGCGAGAGGCCCAGAGGCCGCTGTGTGGCTTTTGCTATGGAGACCTGGGCTGGGCTACGCCTGGCCCGTTCGCGGCGGTGATTATCCTCTGCTGCAGGCCGCGCCCGAATACGCTGAGAAAATGGTGATTCCATCCGTTTACAGCTTGCAAATGGAGAGGGCGCCGCAGCATTTGTGCGAGAGTATCGACGATGAGCAGATTTGGAGAAGAGCGATGCGCAGAGCGATTTTGAAGCTGCCGCCTGGGCCGCTCCGAGGATATCCGCTGGATGCGGCCGGGGGGGGTGCTCTGTCCAGACCGGGCGTTCGAGCTCGGCCTGGCGA